GTGGAGAGGGGATTGTGGTGTGGCCGTCCTCTCTGGGGGGTGATTTCTTGTTTTCTGTCTCTTTGTCTCTCCAGTAAGTGAATGCACCTTAGTAAAAAAAAAAAACCCTCTAAAAATAATAAAGTAAAAAAATAAAGTTTATTGTTACAGGGCACATGCACTTGCCAGAGAGAGAGGGGGAACATGAGAAATCTTTCCTCAGGGGATGGCTATGCCTCAGTCTCTTCTGCTATTCTCCTCTCAGAATTTTGGGCACACATGCACAGTGTGATTTTGCCTCCAGGACTGGGACTTGAACCACAAAATTGGCCATGTGAGATCTAGCCACCTTAACCTCCATGCTACCTGCTGGCCATAATTTTTTTTTAACTTACACAAAAGTAGAGAAAACAGTAAACCTTCATGTACCCATTGTCCAGCTTCAAAATAGTCATCCACACATAGCCAGCCTTTGTATCATCACTACTTCACAGATCCTCCTGAAACAAGTTTTTTTTTGGTAGAGGTTTTTGCCTTAGGGCATGTGTGCTTGCTAGAGAGAGAGAGAGAGAGAGAGACAATGAGAAGGAAAGTGAGAAATTACCCCCCAGGGAGGATGACCACGCCGCAGTCCCTTCTCCTCCATTCTCCTCCTTTCTCTTCCTGGAAGTTTAGACACACGCACACACACACACCTGGCATGAGATTCAAGCCACCAGATCTGGGACTCGAACTGCAGTCAGCCATGTGGGAGTCTAGCAGTGTAACAGCTATGCCATCTGCTGCTCCCTTCCTCCCTTTTATTTTAGCTTTTGTTACAGGACACGTGGACTCACCAGAGACAGAAAGAGAAAGTGAGAAATCACTCCCTAGGGAGGATGGCCATGCTGCTGTCCCTCCTTTTCCATTCCTCTCTTGGGATTTTGGGCATGCACACACTTGCCCAGAATGATTTTCAAGCCATAGGGTCCAGGATTCAAACCACGCAGTCACTCGTTGTGGGATCCAGCTGCCTTAATCTCTGCACCACTTGCTGGCCCTTGAAATAAGTATTTTTTTAAAAAGAATTATTTATTTATTATTTTTTATTTGATCAGAGACAGTGATAATGAAAAAACAAGTCTCCAGGTCCAGGACTCAAATTGTGGTCAGCCACATAAGAATCCAGTGTCTTGGGACCAGCAGTTAACGTAACAGCTATGTCGCTGGACTCCCATGTGTTCCACCGCAGTTCGCATCCTGGACCTGGTGGCTTAAAACTCAAGCCAGGCACGTGTGCGTGCGTGCCCAAGATCCCGAGAGGAGAACGGAGGAGAAGGGATTGTGGCGTGGCCATCCCCCCTGGGGGGTGATTTCTTGCTTTCTGTCTCTCTGTCTGTCTCTGTCTGTCTGGCGAGTGCATGTGCCCTGTAGCAAAAACCTCTCAAAACAAAAACAAAACAAAACAAAACAAACAGAAAAAAAAGTTAACCACCAGACAATCTGCTGGCCCCCTGAAACAAGTTTTTTTTTAAGAATTATTTTATTTATTTATTTATTTATTTAAATTTAACCAGAGAGAGAGAAAATGAGACAGCAAGCTGCCAGGTCTGGGACTTGGACCGTGGTCAACCATGTAGGAGTCCAGCTCCCTTAACCACCACACCACCTGCTGGCCCCAAAACAAGTATTTTTAATGCAAAACCCCAACTTCAGTTTCTATATGTTTCTCTGATAGATAAAATTTCTAATATAATCAAAATGTGGTTGTCACACCTTACAAAACTAGTAATTCCTTAATCTCATCTGCTGTCTAGTCTGAGCTAGATTACTGAGGCCCATCTCACTGAATTGTGGCCCAATAAGTCATGAGGTCCCCTGCTAGTGTGGAGAAGCTAGGAGAATGACCCTGAGAGATTCTCCCTTTGGGCTCTGATATCTGCCAAAGAAACGTGCCCTCTAGGGACCAGTGGATGGCGAAATGGTTGCATCGCTGGACTCCATATAGTCGACTGTGGTTTGAGGCCAGGAACTTGCAGCTTAAAACTCAAGCCAGGAGCATGTGTGTTTGTGCCCAAAATCCTGAGAGGAGATTGGAGGAGAAGGGAATTTCAGCATGGCTATTCCACCAGGGGGTGATTTCTTGCTTTCTGTCTTTCTTTTCTCTCTGTCTCTCCAGCAAGCGCATGCACTCTGTAGTAAAATTCTTTCTTAAAAAAAACCAAAAAGGTGCCCTCTAGCAAGAGCTTTGAGCTAGGAGTCAGAAGACATATCTTCTAGTTCTGTGTCCGATTTAATTGGTCAACCTCAGCCTCCATTTTCCCATGTGTGAAAAGGTGTTGATTCTCAAGGGCTCCTTGAGTTTCTTCTGGGTCTGTTATTCTCTTACTTTCTGTGTACTCCTGTGTCTTCTGGTGGGCTTGAGTGGAGTGGTTCAGACTATTGTCTGTGCCACTGATTCTCTTTGTAACCTGTAGTAAGCATCTCTCTTTCCTGAGCCTGTTTTTTAAATAATCATTTTATTTAACTTTATTTATTTAATTTGGCCAGGGAGGGATAGAAGGGAGAGAGAGAGAGAAAGCGAGAAAGAAAACTGCTCAGTCCAGGACCCAAACTGTGGTTGGCCTTGTGAGAATCTAGCACCCTTAGCCACCGGCCATCTGTTGTCCCTCCGAGCCTGTTTTTTGACCTGTAAAATG